TGATTTGCCTTTAATGCCTTGGCCGCAAATTTGTTCGGCCTCGGCCTCGGCCTATGCTTGAGGCCGAGATGATCATGCCTTAGCATTTCCTACTTTTATTTTTAAGAAGGCGAAGTACCCTGGCGAAACGCTGCGTTTCAGCCTCTGCAAACAAGTGCCAGGGCCGAGATAAAGGGTTCCCTCGCCCAGCTCGTGGCCGTGATTTATCAGGCACAAACAGTCTCTGGACACTATGTTCTTGGTTCTCTTGTTGACCAATGCGAATCTCACGGCCTGGTGCTCCGGGCTGAGGGGACCTGTTGTGTCAATTCAGCTGCACCAAAATCGATTCAGCTGCGTCCTCAACTTGTGATACTCGCAAGTGCACGTTTGGTAGTATAGCATATGTAAGTGCGTGGTCGATCCCACGAGGCTTGGTGATTGAATGATCCAATTCATTTCCCCTACATAAAACAGAAATGAAAAAGAAAATGAATAAAACAAGAAAAAAAACTAATTAACTCAAGCAAATAATTTCCCAAGTTCAATTAGATTAACGGATTGATTCTAGATAAAGTATGATTAAGCCATGGTGTTTGGTCCTAACCTTGTGTTCCTAACTCCCTAATTTGATCATTTGTTGTCTAACCTAAAATTAAGCATAGAAGAATAATTTAAACAACCAAGCATGTATCTAATCCCTGTTGTCGAATGTCCATACATACTCTTCCTATTCATAGTTCAATTCGAATTAAAGCATGGTGTCTACTCTTAATTCAAACCAAGATAGCTAACATGCAAGCCTAAATGGTGATCAATCATTCAAACTAGCATATTAACTTATAAGCATAATGAATAAGAACAAAAACCATAATTGAAACTTGGAAACTAATTAAACTTGAATACTTAAGAAAGAATGTACATTACAAATAAAATTAAAGTAGAACTTGAAAACTTGAAGGAAAATTTAGTAAAATCATTTTGTTACAACAATTGACAACTTGAAAGGAAACTAAGAGAATTTGAGGGAGAGAAGGGAAGGGAGCTCTAGAGAAGTGTTTGAGAGCTCCCCCCTTGGGGTTGATTTATGAAGCTTGAAGACTTCTCTATTTATAGGGTTAAGAGGGAGGAACATCACGATGAATTCCAACATCACCATTCCTCTTTTAATACAACCCATAACTCCCACTTCATCTAGTCTATGTTAGTGTGGTTGGAATCAAATCCATCCTATACTTCTTTTGCTGCAACTCAAGCTTTCTTCACATGGGACTTCAAAGGTGTTCAATTGTGGCTGCCTTTTGCTGCCAACCCATGTGGGTTTTCTTCACCTTTGCTGGAAAAAAAGATTCTTCTGAACCAGGATCGGTGTAGGAAGGCTTGAGGTTTCAATATGTATCCAATGGAGCTCAAATTTGGATATGTCATAATAGACACCCATTGGAACAACCTTTATGAAGAATGTATTCCCATCTGAGTGGTACAAGTGTACGTTTTGGGCCTTGCAAGTTGACTGCCGAAAATAGACTGGAATTGACTTCATTGCAGTCAGCTTGTGGGCTTGTTTTGGGCTTGATCTTCCCTCCTCAAAAATCTGGGAAAATCTGGATCTTGAAGCTCTTTGAATTATGTTTCCAAGCATATGCAGCCCAGCTCAAGGAACAATCGGAAAGCCCTTCAAATGTGATATTTGGCCCAGTACCGCAGATGCTGCCGAATTTGACCTTAAGTTGCCAAAACTTGTATAACTTTCTCTAGAAGACTCGGAATCATGAACCGTAAAATTCTCCAGAAACTAGACTTCCGCATCTTTCCAATGATGTATGGCT